GAACGGAAGCTTTGGTGTCAGGCGGCTTGCACTTGAATTTTCAGGTCTACCATTTAATAGCAGGTTGATCACTGAGCCTTAATTTTTTTCACCTGGGAAACGGGATTAATCATCTCCCTCTCACAGAGTAGTAGTGAATATTAAATAGGAGGCTGATGTGATTTGCCTAAAGCTGTCCCCACTGATTTGCAGGTGCTAAGTGGGGGCTGTCCTTGGCTCTGCTGCTCTCATAATTGCTATTGTTTCTTGGTAAGCCTAAAGCGATCCATATAGCCCCCAAAGACTGTGCTCTCTTGTACTCTTCAGAACCACCTAGAAACTTGTTTAACATTCAAATATCAGGTGCCACATCAGATTGAATCAGAAACCCTGGGGGCAGGTCTCTATGATCTGTGCTTGAACAAGTCCTCCAGGTGCTTCGATGCTCACTGAAGTTTGAGAACCTCTTATCTAATGCAAAGAGCCATGTAGAAATCAGTGAAGGAGAACTTATACAGTCGTCCCTTGGTACCTGCAGGGGACTGGTTCCAGGACTGCTGCTGACATCAAAATCCGTGGATGTTCAAGTCCCTCATATGAAATGGCCTAGTATGGTCCTTCCAAGTCTGTGAGTTCCACATCTCCAGACATGGAGGGTCAACTGTAACTCACTCTCTGTGAACAGTGACAAAGTCTGACAAGCCTGATGTTGGGGTGAGGTTATCCTGTGAGAGCAGGAATGCTTTTTTTCCTTCATACCAGAGGAAAAACTGCCACCTTTAATTAAGAGAAGTGGTTGTCAACTTGTAATTATTCAAAGGTAATTACAGAGTTTACGAATCACGTAGGACATTTACTGCTTCCTAAAGTCCCCTCAGTTAAAATTCTTCCATCCACCCCCTCCTTGCTTGCACCTTGGTTTAAAAACAACAGTGGTGTGTAAGAGGCTGAACAATGGTTTACTCATGCTATTAATTGTGTTAATGTTTTTAAAATGTAAACTTCCCCTGATTTCAAAATGGAACCAAGAAAAAGATCATGAAAAAATTTGCCTGATACTTTAACAAACCATTCCTTAAGCCATTGTAAACTTAATAATAAGTAAAAGCCAAATAAACCAGAAAGCTGCCCAGTATGACTGGCAAAACCCTGTTAGTTGCGAGGAGAAGGTAGACAGCCTAGAATGAGGGCTCACAGCTTATCCTATGTCATCATCCTGGGGCTTGGACTGGTCACTTCCTGTTTCTTCTGCCGCCTTCTGCCCTGCCCAGGGCCCTTGGTGAGTGAGACCCAAGAGGGAGTTGCCCAGCAGACAGTGTGGGTGAAAGTGAGTTTCTCTCACCAAGTTTAGGCCTCATAAAACTCATCCTCCCAGTGACACTTGTGATATCTTTTCCTCACCTCACTATTTTTGGGTTTCTCAATTGAAGGGTGATGGTGAATAAGAAAAAAAAAATATACTCAAAGCTCATCTCAGAATTGGTATAATATTACATATGTCTGCCAGTGAAATCTGGGTGTGGCTTTTAAACTTTTTTTTTTTTTAAACTAATGAAGTCAGATCTTTAATTAAGCAGAATCCTTAATTTAGTAGAATTCCTGCCCGGTAGGAGGCCTGTGCCTCAATTTTTGAATCCCAAAGCAGTAAGCCAGTGTTTGGAATTTCGTAAAATTGGGTTCTTCTCATTATTTTTGTAGCAGCTTTGATTATTTTGGAATAAAAATCTAGAAGTGTGCTAAAGCCTAACTGATGCTGAGATAAGGCCGAGCTGATCGATTTAGAAATACTTTAGTAATTTTAAAACCACTGTAGCTTTTCTTAAATGTGTGTGCAGTTGACAGGAAAGTTAAGCAAGGACCCTGAGCAACCTGATAGTTGAGATGCTACTGTTACACACTCTCGCTTTTCAGTCTGGGACTGAGAATTTTGCCATTTGGGGTGCCCTTTCTGAGGGAAAGGTAGCGATTACTCGGAAGTGGGCAGAACTCTGCCTCTTAAAGCAGAGCCATAGGCCAGGAACATTCAACAAGCAGTCAAGCTATAGAAACTCCATTGACATAACCAGCAGGAACAGACAAGGGAGAACTCCCTTTGTGGTGAGACTAGCAGAGCAGACGCCCTTGCAAAGCAGCTTCCCCTTCTATGTGCATCCTGTGTGGGCTGTCTGTACCAGGTAGCTTTGCAAAAGAGAAGCTTGGGAGCTCAAGTTGCTTAGAGGACAGTTGCATGCCCTACCCCTCCCTGCAAACAAAGTGGCTGTGAAGCAAGTTTGAAGGGAAAAAATTATTTCCTGATCAACCCTCTTTTTTGGCTCCCATGGTTGGATGTTAATATTACACATAGTGTGTGTGTTTTGAGCCAACAAGAATTACCAAAATTGGGGCTTCCCTGGTGGCGCAGTAGTTAAGAATCCACCTGCCAATGCAGGGCATGCGTGTTCGAGCCCTGGTCCATGAAGATCAGACGTGCCGCGGAGCAACTAAGCCTGTGCGCCACAACTACTGAGCCTGCGCTCTGGAGCCTGCGAGCGACAACTACTGAGCCTGCGAGCCACAACTACTGAAGCCCACGTGCCTAGAGCCTGTGCTCCGCAACAAGAGAAGCCAGTGCAATGAGGAGCCCTTGTACCGCAATGAAGAGTAGCCCCCACTAGCCACAACTAGAGAAAGCCCACGCGCAGAACGAAGACCCAACGCAGCCAAAAATAAATAAATTAAAAAACAAAAAGAATTACCAAAATCATAAAACAATTGAAAGGAATTCTTGAGTGATCAACAGGTCCATTGTGCTACTGTCAACTAGAAATAAGTCTGTGTGAAATGTGTGAGATTCAGACTTCTTAAAGAAGACTTCATAAGCCAGTTTCTGTTTTAGTTTTTCCTGTTTTTGGTATGTTGACTAACATAAATGTTCACTTTGCTGTTCTTTTAAAATCTGATATCAAGATACCCATCTAGGAAAAGTTTTTGCTATGGTGATCTAAACAGATAATTCTTTACTACATCCCAGTGAATTCAACAGGGTAGCGCTTAGCCTCCTGCACACACACACACACACCTCCCCGCTTCCCACAACCTGTAGATTGAAGGGCTATGGAAATAGCAGACACTCATTTTTTGGATGATTATAATTTTTAAAAAACTGTTTTTGCACACCGTGTCTTTCAGAGTTAAATTAAAAAATTACAGGTGATATACTGTAAGCATAGTGGCTGTTTTTAAATTAAAAAACATTTACTGTTTAGCTTTTATGCAAAGTACCATGCTTTAGCACCAGGAGGCAGAAAAATATGAGAGGTTCTATTATGATGGGCTTGACATTCAAGGTGAAAGGGGAGAAGGGGAGAGAACCAATCAGTATATTAAGTCAGGTGGATCTGAGAAAGCCTTTAGAGTGGGTGAAATTGGAATCACTCCCGATCTTCGCTGGTAGCTGAAAATTGGGGATAGGAGTATGTGGTTGAGAGAGACGGAGAGGAAATTCCGTATGATTAGAGTGAAAGCATCGAAGTCCAGGATATCACCGAGGAGCAGGGAGTGGTCTGGCGTGACTGAAATACAGAGGTGGTTTGAGGGAGTTTTGTAGGTAAACTGGTCCTGGAAGAATGGTTATCTTTCAGTAAAAGGGGGGTCTGGGGTGGGGGTGGGTTAGAGCAAGAGGCTGCCCTTTACCGGGTGTGTTTGGGGAATGGACATGACTGTTAGGTAGAATGCATATGGTAGGCCTGCAGGGAGACAGGAAGGTAATTTCTAGGGTAGGTCTGTGCTAGGTTATGGGGGAATTTTAATGCCAAAGCAGGGGTTGAGAGTTTATTCTGCAGTAGCAAAGGGCCATTGAATGCTGGTTATTTTAAAATACGGATGGTGACATGAGAACCAGAGCCTTAGATCGGATTTCTCTCCTTGAGAAGGCTAAATTAGAGGGACAAGATGTGGAGGCAGGGAGACCAGTAAGTAGGCTCTTGTCAGAGGAAGTCAGAGAAATTCTGAGAGGGCCTAGGTGCCGGGAAAGGGGTGGGGGAGCGTGTCTGACATCAGGGCTAGAATTTCTAAGGTACATAGAGCCTTGGAGAAACAGTTGAATATTTTCCGATTTATTCACATAATGTTGGGGGGAAAGATTCAGTAGATACTCTAAAGCAAGTCTATGAGGACAAAAGTCTTAATAGTTCTTATTTTCATTATTCTTACATATCACATGTCAGGGTTGGGAGGGCGTGGCCCGAGTTGCTGACCTAAGGCAAGCCCACTTTTGGTTTGCATGCTAAAACTGCACTCTTTTGGGTTTCCAGCTTCGTGATTTGTTTGCCAGTAGATGCATTTTTAACCCCTTTGGTGCCGGGGCTGATGATTTAGGATGCATTTTTATGTGGTTTAAGTAGTGCAATCAGATTATAGTTTCTTAGTAGGTAGAGCTGACATCTAAAATTGGATTTTCCCATCCTTGACATTTGAAATGAGAAATAAAAGTTATCTTTTCAGGTTTACGTGCCAAGACTCTTCCAGTAGAGTAGGCTGAGAATAAAGTAAATGTTGTTTTGGGTGCCTGGTAATCTTTTAATTATGAAATAAGCCTTTGGATTTTAATCTTCCAAAATATAAAATACTGATCCAGGAAAACAGCCTTTTTAAAGTTCACATCCTGCTGACTCCGTCAGATGAAAAGCGTCCACGTCTACCCTGTATTTCGCAAGGCGAAAGTAAAAATATCATTAATCTTGTCTCAGTCCCACCACTGACTATAAAAGACTCTTCCATTTGGAGTCAGTCCTGAGCCATGAAGCCAGTAGCCCAGAGTGAACGCTTAGTTTTCCAGAACCAGGACCCGAAGCTGGAGGGTCGCAGCCAGCTGACTGAGGCCTTAATCTAGGAGTGGGACGAGGGACTTGGGCTTTCTTTAAACCAGCTCCCTTGTCATAGAGGCTTCCTGAGCTGTCCTTGCCTCCCTCACACGTGTACGTATGCACAGCAAAGCTTGGATACTGATAAACTTTGTTTTTGTTCTTTTGTGGCATCTGAAGCAGCTTGTACAATGAAGACAGAAACCTGCTTCGAATTAGAGAGAAGGAAAGACGCAACCAGGAAGCTCACCAAGAGAAAGAGGCATTTTCTGAAAAGATTCCCCTTTTTGGAGAGCCCTACAAGGTAATTTCTTTCTTTCTTTCTTTTTTTTAAAAATTTATTTATTTAATTTATTTTTCGCTACATTGGGTCTTCGTTGCTGCGCGGGCTTTCTCTAGTTGGGGCGAGCAGGGGCTACTCTTCATTGCGGTGTGCGGGCTTCTCATCGCGGTGGCTTGTCGTTGCGGAGCATGGGCTCTAGGCGCGCGGGCTTCAGTAGTTGCAGCATGCGGGCTCAGTAGTTGTGGCGTGTGGGCTCTAGAGCACAGGCTCAGTAGTTGTAGCGTACGGGCTTAGTTGCTTCCGCAGCATGTGGGATCTTCCCTGACCATGGCTGGAACCCGTGTCCCCTGCATTGGCAGGTGGATTCTTAACCACAGCACCGCCAGGGAAGTCCTACAAGGTAATTTCTTGAATATGAGAAAGTCTGATTTATCACCATATTTGACTTCATGATGAAAGTGAGTTTGAACAAGGGTCACACTTGTGAAAATAAGACAACTTATCCTAGAGATCGTTTTTGAAAACAAAATATGAAAATCTTCTGAACCTCGGTAAGTCAAAATTACCAAAGTTTGTGGTTTTCTTTTGTAATGTTTGTCTCCTGTATTTAGTAATATTTGTCCGTGGCAGGCTTCTCAGCAGGGGAATTGAGTCGAAATTGCATGTTAAATTCGGTGTTACACATTAAATTGAGGTGTTTCTTTTCTAATGGCATTATGTAACATGGTTTACTAAACAATGGTTTTCCTCCCCCTCTTTTTCCCCCTCAATATCTAACTCTGCTGTCTTTTCTTTTTTTAGACAGAAAAAGGTGATGAGCTATCCAGTCGAATACAGAACATGCTGGGAAACTATGAAGAGGTGAAGGAGTTCCTTAGTACCAAGTCCCACCCTCAACGCTTGGATGCTTCTGAAAATAGGTTGGGAAAGCCAAGATACCCCTCATTTCCTGAGAAGGGGAGCAGCATTCCATCTCACTCCTTCCACACTAGTGTCCACCACCAGCCTATTAATACTCCTGCCTCTGGACCACTTCCTATTGGTACCATTAGCCACAACCCAAAGATGGCGCAGCCAAGAATGGAACCAATGCCAAGTCTCCATGTCAAAAGCTATGGCCCACCGGACACCCAGCACATGACCCAAGATCGCCTTGGTCAGGAGGGGTACAGCTCTAGTCATCACAAAAAGGGTGACCGCAGGGCTGATGGAGACCACTGTGCTTCAATGACAGACTCAGCTCCAGAGAGGGAGCTTTCTCCTTTGTTCTCTTTGCCTTCCCCAGTCCCCCCTTTGTCACCTGTACATTCCAACCAGCAGACTCTTCCCAGGATGCAAGGAAGCAACAAGGTTCACAGCAGTAACAGTAACAATAAAGGCTACTGTCCGGCCAAGTCTCCCAAGGACCTACTGGTAAAGGTCCATGATAAAGAGACCCTTCAAGACAGTTCAGTAGCAGTTGCCAGCCTTGGGGTAGCCCCTCCCCAGCCACCTTCTCAGACTTTCCCCCCACCCCCCCTCCCCTCAAAAAGCCTTGCAATGCAGCAGAAGCCCACAGCTTATGTCCGGCCCATGGATGGTCAAGATCAGGCTCCTAGTGAGTCTCCTGAACTGAAACCACTGCCGGAGGACTACCGACAACAGAGTTTTGAAAAAACAGACTTAAAAGTGCCTGCCAAAGCCAAGCTCACTAAGCTGAAAATGCCTTCTCAGTCAGTCGAGGTGAGTGGAAGTTCATATCTGAGGCAATTCCAGTGTGAAGAAAGATTTGAGGTGGAAGTTTCTGGAGGTTTAGGGGCAGGGGTGTCAGTAGCCTTTGTTCAGGGAGATTCCTTTCTGGCTTTAGGATCTTGTTGACCCACAAGAAACTCAGGTCTGAAGTGAATTACTGATGACAGATATTGAAATGTGATTTGTAGAAAGTTAAAAAATCTTTTTATTGAGCCATGATTTACATACAGTAAAATATAGAGATGGGAAGAGGATAGTTTGCTCTGTTTTGAAAAATGGATACACCTATACAACCCACAACCCAACTGAGGCAGAGGACATTTCTAGCATGAGAGTTTCAGGAAGGTTTTGAGCTGTCTTTGATTTTTGGGGGCTTTGGGGAACACTGACTTCTTTAAAGACACTGTAAAGAAAAAAATTTTTTTTGGTTAATACTTCCTCTGCCCCAGTTAGTTTTTCCTGAGATCCAAACCATAAAAAAGTGAAAACAGGAGATCAAAATGTTGGAGGAGTATTAATTTTTAAAGATTTGTCCCCTATAAATTATAAGAAACTGTGAAACTGAATTTCTGTTCTAATATATTTTATTTACCACCTACAAAAGAAGAGTGGAGGTGTGATGACATCTCATTTGAGAGAGTCACAAATATAGAATGTTATTCAACTATGGCTTTTTCAAGTAAACAACATACTTTATCTTTTTAAACAAAGGAAAAATTCCTTTTTCTGCTCCTTTGACAAATGGCAACGTGGTGTTTCAATGAGAAGAATCAGAGCACACATTCTATCACTGAAATTCTAAATTAACACGTTACTCAAATTCAGATTTGTAGTGCAAAGTGAAATGTTTGAAGTGAATTTATTTTAGCGCTTATCTGTTAAGGTAAAGTCTGTGGTTGAGTTACATCAATTGTATAAACATTCTAATTTGCATATCCAGTCCTCAAAGACTTGTATGTGCACCCAGATACCAGCTTTACATCAGTTTTGCATAGTGCTAGAAGGCAAAATTCCTTAAGGTTTAAAAAAAGAAAGAAAAAAAAAATTCCAGGATCCATAGCTGGAAAGATAACCCTTATCTTGAAGGAGGAAAATCTGTTCCTTTGTGGTGTCAGCTTTTGGTTTAGAAGAGCTTAGGGTTCTGTCCATAGTCAGCTGTTGAGCTGGAGTGTCTCTGGATGTCTTCAGAATGTGACTGGTTTGGAGGCTGAGGAAAAATTAGAAAGGAGTAAAGCACGTGGTAGAAATGACCAAGATGGCAGAACAATCCCTATAACCCCATAAGCTATGCAGATTCACTGCAATGAGCCATTTATTGAACATTTTGTGCTCTGTTGGGCGGTAGGGGTAGGGAACAGAATGAAGGTGGAGAAGAATAAAGTGAGATCTTCCCACCTCCTATGGTCAGTCAGCCTACCTTATAATTCAGAAAGAACTTAATGGAATTTTCTTTATTTATCAAATAAGGTCTGTTATATTTTCCTAGTTTAAAAAGAAAAAAAAGGTAAGGGGACAATTTAACATGTTTTCTTTAAAAAGAAAACTAAAAATTGCTTTAAAACAATTCTAAGACCAATTAGCAAATATTTGCATTGTCTACCAAATACCCAACCATATGTATAAGCACAGAGTGGGATGCCAAGGAAGTACTGGTCCCTGCCCCAGAGAGATGACAGTCTAGCGTGGAGATCAGCCTACACATGTGAAACAATCAGAGAACTGTCTGCTACTAGGTGCATAGAGAAAGTTTCAAACATCAGCCTTAAGACAGTGAACCCATGTAAATTCAGCCAACAGGTTTTCTGGTAGACCTTTTAGGTTAGAGGATCCCGGTTAACCTTTTGCTTTCCTGGTGAAAAAAAGATACGGTGAGTTGAGATTTCTCCAGGGTTTTACAGCTCCTCAGATTTAATACATATTTCAAGCATAGGACCACATTAGATAGTCGTTGCATATTTTCTGAGTGGACAGTTGAACAAAATCATTCATAGATGTGGTAAGAGAATGGGGTTTTCTTGGCTTTTCTTGACCTGCTGTCAACAATTGAGTAGATGTAAACGTTTCATCTTCGGCCTGTGTTTGCAGTCAACCTTCATTTTAACATGATGGCTCCCTCTGGCCTCTAATCAGTGTTCTGAGGCCAGTGGCAGCTCTGGTGCTAACTGCCTTGGAGCCCCTGGGTGGTGTTTGTGGCATGGGAGGATGGAGCTGAGGGGTCAGGCAGATGGAGGGCTCTGGGCAAAGAACTTGCAATGAAGGGGGAGTAAGTCTGGGAAACAGGGATATTGGTGCTTTCTGGCGAGCGTTTAGATTTGGTTTAGTAAGATCTTATGTTTCACAGACTTACCATTAATTTTCTGTTTGTAGACCCAATAAAATGGCTGTTTTTTTAAGGTTTTAAAAACATGTAGGGGCTTACCTGGTGGCTCAGTGGTTAAGAATCCGCCTGCCAATGCAGGGAACATGGGTTCGAGCCCTCGTCTGGGAAGATCCCACATGCCACGGAGCAACTAAGCCCGTGCGCCACAACTACTGAGCCTGCGCCCTAGAGCCTGTGCTCCGCAACAGGAGAAGCCACCGCAATGAGAAGCCTGTGCACAGCAACGAAGACCCAATGCAGCCAAAAATAAATAAATAAAATAAATATATTTTTAAAAAAGCATTTTAAAAAAACCATGTAGATTGGATTTTAAAAATCTCAAAAAAAGTATATATATTTTTTTGGCTGTGTCGGGTCTTAGTTGTAGCACGTGGGATCTTTAGTTGTGGTATGCGGGCTCTTTATTAGTTGTCAGATTTTAATATTCTGGTGAGTCAAAAGAAAGCATAGAGGTGGGGGACAGCAAAAGTGGGGAATTAACCCCAGAGCAGGTAAATTCTGAATATAGAACCGGAATAGTAGCAATATCTTGGGCTGCTTGTGGCATTGGGGCAGAAGGATAGAGAATGCCAGGGTGGAAGGGGAAGTTGGCTGTTGGTAGAGCCATGGGAAGGGGCATGGGGATAGCTAAGTGGTTTTCCTTTATTTGCTGAATTTGTCCTAAGGCAAGTCGGAGGAGGTTTTCTTTCCTGGCATTCTGAGTGTGTGGGTTTTGTGGTTTGTTTCATTGCTCCCCTCCCCCACTGCTTCCATCAAACAGTATTTTAAAAAAATGGACCAAGATGGGAAAGTCATCTTGTCTGTCTGGCACTCCTTTATTCTCAAGCCACATACATATGAGTGCCTTGCTATTTTCTGTCCTTTCACTTCATGGGAAACACTTGGTTTGTATATTTTAGTTGGTTCTCCTAAATAATGGTATTCCTTTCTGGGATAAGTGATGCTCACTGTTAACACTTAGTCTTTCCTAAAATCCTACAGGAAAAAAATTATCAAAAGGTCAACATTCTGACTAAATAGAGGCTAGAGCACACAGCGTGCACTGGATTTTTCTCTGGGCACGTTGGTTTTAGTTTTGTGTCAACTGGAAGATGTATAGCATCTTGAAATGACCCATCTGAGGATATAGCCAGGACTCCACGATCTCACATGGATGCCTTCCAGCTGTAGAGTTGCCACATCAGAGACCGAATTGCTCAAACGGAAGGCTGAGATTCCTTGTAGCTCTTTCTACCGGAAGTTAACAAATGGGAGTGAGAGGAAAACCAAGGCATCTCTGTGTGAGCGTTCCTGAGTGTGGACCCTGGACTGGAGTGGATGTGCTTAGAGGCAGATAGGCATTTTACTGAAAGGGAGAAATGGATTAAGTTGAGGTGGGCATATTAAATTGTATACTGGATTTAGAATATTAGAATTTTAAGGGTAAACCTACAGCCCTTTCATGTTGTAAATAAAGCCTAGAAAGGTGAGGTTACTTAATTTTGCTACAGTTTAGTTAGTAGCAGAGCCAGAGTTAGAATTCTCAGTTCTGTGATCTTTCTACCTCTGCTTGTTAAGTATGCATGGAGACCATAGGAGGATCTTGAGCATGGGAGTGATATATCTATCTACTTTCTCTTTCTGAAAAAGATCATTCTGGCTCCTGGGTGGAGAATGGCTTGGAGGGGCAAGGGTGGCAGAAGTAGGGAGGCCAGCTAGGGGGTGGGAAATGACGATGGCTTGGCGTAGGATAATAGCAGTGGACATGGTGAGAAGTGGATAGATTCCAAATATATTGGGCAGGGGAGTAATAGGGCTTTGTGATTGACTGGAGGTGGGAGTGGGCCTGAGGTGCGAGGGAAAGTGAGGCATTAAGGAAGGTCCTACTGGAAAGGTGTGGATGGTGGGATGATACCTGCTCCTGAGATGGAGCTGACCTGGGTGGAACAGGTTTAGAGGGAAAACCAGGATGCTCTGGATGGATCACATATTAAGTTTGAGATGCTGTTATATATCCAGGTAGACATGACAAGTTGGCAGTCATCGGTAGTAGATCAGCCCAGGGAAAATGATAAGTTTGGATGTTTGTGGCGGGGTAAGAATCACAGGAGTGGAGATAAACGAAATGGAGCCAGCATTCAGTTAGCACACAGCACAAGTTAGTCAAGTCAGGAAAATAGGCAAGAGAGTAACAAACCACTCCAAGGAGAAGTCCGGGAAGGGGGTGTCTCAGCACAAGCAGCGGTCTGTCTAGCAACCGTCTCGGTCTAGCAGTGGTCTCGGGACAAGCTTGAGTGCGAAGTAGCCCTCTGCTTGGACAGAGCCTCCAGCAGTGCCCACGTGGAACAGCTCTCAGCAGGGGGAAATTGGGTCCTCCAGGGAAGAACCTTCAGTTGCTCAGCTCAGTGGGCTCATTTTAAGGAGTTTATCAGTGGGTGTAATGGTCTTACTCTAAGACATTCACAGTCCTATGGTGGACTTTTCAAAACAACTAATACAGAAGTTCACATTGGCCACTGGGACTCCATTTTGAACTACTTAACATAGCTTAAATCCTGTAAGTTTCACACAAGATGAGTAGAAATCATAACACAAAAGAAATCTCATCTTAATACTGGGACTAATAAATTTG